TTTGGATCACAAACCGACCTACTTTGAATCTTCCCAATATCAACCTAAGATTCTCCATATATATATTGAGATCGGAAATATATCACTTGCGCGCACAGCGAAGAATTTCCCACAGGAGGATCTTTACAATTCATCATAGGCCTAAATCGGACCTCATTTGTATCTTTACATGCGGGCAAAGATATCACTACTAGCAGGTATAGTATACCCTTAGTGTGAGTACACATATAATCGTCCAATCGAAGTAAGTGCGTTAAAACGTCCCTTTTTGATGCCCCACAGGTTCGAACCGCACACGTGTTATGGGACGATGTCCCAGAAGCGTCACTCGCCATGAAAACCTTCGGCCCGTCTTGTGTGTTGTGACCATTGCTCCATTTGTGTAGTACGCTAAGCTGTGTAGCTAGCACGCTAGAGTGTTGCAAGATCACTACTCATAAGTGAGTGCGGAATTGTCCGTAAGCATTTACGGTTCTATCGTATCTACTGTGCACTGGAAGTGTACTCTAAGATTCAAGGTCTGGTTTGCGTTATCTACAAGTTGGACTCTACTTCAACTTCTTGCACTTGCATTCATACCTTGACATCTAATTGGTAGCAACTCCTTGTTGATTTACCATTGGTTTACGTTATATTACTATTATGCCTGGAGAATTTCAGTTTATTGAGAAGGATGTGGACATTGTTAGCAAGCAGGCTTATGATGAGTTTAAGGCTCTTGGTGTGTCCGAAGATGCGGCAGAAAAGGCTCGTTCTGCGGCTCGTGATAGTGCTTTGGCTCATAATGAGTTGGTACAGGCTGCTAAGGCTTGTGGATATGGCTCTGGTGGTGATGGTACTTCCTCGTCTTCGGCCCGTACACCTGATGCCTCGGTCACTCCCAATTCGTCATCTACGGTTGTTCAGATCGTGCAATCACCTATGCCTGAACGGTATGATGGAATTGCTGATTTTGAGGATTGGTTAAGGCGTTATGAAGCTGACGCTAGAGGCTCTGGTTGGACTAATCTCCAGATAGCAGGGCGTCTTGGTAATTATCTTCGTGATACCCATTTTGAGGTCTGGCACCAGAACTGTTCTAAGACAGATTTCGAGGCTGACCGGAAGGCTCTGTTGGATATGTTTGCCTTAGTTCGGCCCGATGAGATTCTGCATAAGTTCAACTCTCTGACTTGGGATAGGTCTTCCCGTGTGGTCTCTTTTTTGACTACACTCCGACGATATATGATTAATTACAATAAGACCTTACCCGAGGATCATAAGTTGTCTCAGACCCATATGGATAAGATGATTATGGATAGATTGATTGCCAACGCCCCAGACGGTGACAAGTCTGTGCT